TAAATAATCCACTGATATCACCTTTTTTAATTTAATGAACTTGTTTTCCTTCGAACAAAATACAATAATAAAAAATGCTTCATAACGTATTTATGGATTTATTTGTATATGATTCATAACACCAAGTGAATCATAAAATGATGATGTTCTCGGAAGAAGGTACAGTAAACAGTGTTTAGTTTGAAGTTTGAATATACTGCTAGTTCATAACTTTCCGGGAAGAAAACATTCAGTAAAAATTCATAAAACCAAACCACGCAGCATAACATGGTTACAGACTTACAGGGGTGGGGAAGGAATAAAGGAAGTGGTATAACCATTTAATTTTTTGAAACTATTAATAATAACATATTAGAAAAAAAAAAGTTATATAAAAATATATGAAATAAGGTTAAAATAGTAATTTTAAGTTGGTCAACGACGAAAATCGCAACAAAAGAATATCATATGGACAGAATGAAAAGTCATTTATAATAACGAAATTTGAAGATTACACCAAACCAAATGGACAATTTATGTAGTTTACCCTTATATATAAGATACATTGTCACCATTGTGTTTGTAAATCATCCTCTTTCTCATTAGATTGATTGTCTATAAAATATAAATATACAAAATTCCCTAATTTGTTGTAACGTCCGTATTTCTCCGTATTTCTGACTAAGCATTATTATGATGATGTAATAATTAGGGTCAACAATAGTAACCTATTTTGAAGTAATAAAAAAGAATTATTTGAGTATTATGTGATTTATGTGCAACATATATGCTTATAACGATATAATAAAATAATAATAAAAATATGTGTCAAAAATAAAATGAAAATTAGACCCAATATCTTTGAAGAAAGTTGAACTAGTCGTGATAAGGATTTCGGGGATATAAAGAAGGCTGAAATCCGACTTATAACGGAGAAGTTATGACCGTTGAAGTTTCGCGACTAAACCGGCACGGCGCTGCATATCGTAAAAAAATGAATTTTTGATAAACTGTTTTTTAGCCTTAGCAATCTAAATGAAAGTCGTAATAGACGTTAGACCGAGAACGTACATAAAAAGAATGTCCAACTCTGACTTCGTTAGAAGAAGTTATGAATTTTCCAAGATTTAGCATAGCAGTACACAGCCCGAAAATCAAATTTTTGATCGATCGGTTATTAGCCGACACAACCTAAACGAGAATTGAAGATATCGTTAATAGAAGTTAACCGATATAAAGACAGTCAAAATCGGACGTCGGATGACAAAGTTATGAATTTTTAACGGACTTTAATTGTATAAGTCTGTTAAAATATAACTTTAAAAATAAATTTAAAATTAGCCGACGGAGTCTAAACGAAAGTTGTAGATCACGTCGCTACCTACGTGTGGATATAAAAAAACGTCAAAAACAGAGCTCGTATGCGAAAGTTACGGATTTTAGAAGATAATTAGTTTTGCATTGAACCTCGGAGTGACACGTGGCAAGATCTGGGTCACTACTTCTTCCCCACGGCTTGGAACAAGATTGCGACACATGGCATGCGTACACCCAACGTACAGCAGTACGCCCCACGTATAGCCCAATTACGACCCGCGTAAGTGGATTTCACAGCCTATAAATAGAAGGCGCAAATCACTCATTTTCTCACACCTTTCTAACCCATTCTCTCTCTAACAACCCCCCCCCCCACCCTCTAAGCCTTTCCCTAGCACCTCCTAGGTGTTAGAAGCGAGTCCCGAAGCGCCCGAAGGCCCCGAGAGGAAGAGCTTTCGGCTCAGAAGTTCTGCCCGCGCAAAGCCCGATTTCTCGCTAAACCCCATTGTAAGTGAGTTATGGTTATCGTACTTTAAGTATAACTTATGTTTAAGTTCATTATCATTATTATGAACCTATAAACAAGATTTATCAGTGATTCAAATTCGTTATACTGATTGATCTACTTACGGAGATGATGTCTAGGTTGTGATTTAGTGAAGTGTTTAAAGTGAGATTTCCAAACAGTATACTTCGTATACCAAACGGACCCTACCTCTGATATGATCCTACCTGATTGTTCCTTACCTGATAGATCATGAAAGTAGACTTTGAGTTAAAGATGAATCTAGACCAATAATTAGTCGCAATAAATAATAGACTAAGACTTAGTGATAATGATACTAGGTTTCATCGAAGGAAAATACAATTGTTAGAAGCGAAACACTGCCCGAATTTCGAGTCGTCACTTTAACAAGTGAGTGCATAGTTACTTTCATCTTACACATAGATATGAAGTATTTAATATAAATTACTTGTTATGTGTCTGTTATCTGTGTTCCTGATATCTATGCTAGATGAACGATTTTTGGAAAGGGAACTTCCTTAACGAGGGTTTCCGGGCCAGCTTTCGCGCACCGACTAATCCCCCGCTGCAAACATGAGGCTTTGCCTCATGCCCTGGAGTCACTGCAGGCGAACCTCCATGGCCACAAGGGCTGAGTGGTGCCAGGATTTGAACGTGGGTCAATAGGTTATCCACCATATCTTCCACATGCCTTACCAAGTCACCACAACCCAAGTGGTTATTAGATGAACGATTTATACATGTTTTACTCGATTTAAACTGTATATATATTTTATACCTATAATTTTGTTGGGTAAAGATGAGTAGATGATATAGATGATGAAAGATGAAATAAAAGATGAGAGACCTCGATGTTAAAGCTGATCCGGTCATCTAGCGGAGTATAGATGACGACCACGAACTATTCTAGACACACAGATTTAACGTGGTTCGGTCGAGGTGACCTATGTCCACGAGAAAGCTAAAACAGGTGTTTACAGAGATTCTTGACGACCTATGAACCCTAACTATCAGCCTTTATATTTATTAGCTTTATAGATAGACACGTATAAGGAAACTGATAAAATAGCCGACATCAGGCGCGACAAGAATTGTCGCGGCGCGAATAACCATTTTTGTCGTGGGTCATGGCGCGACCATAATTGTCACGGCGCAAAAACCGAACAGAAAACTTCCAGAGAATTACCGTGAGACATTCGCAGCGCGGTCAATCTCCATCTTGGCGCAATTTTAGTCGGCCATTCTCAAGCCACTAATTAACAGCTTGTGCGCACAAAATACAACGTTAACTTGATTTCAAATCCAAAACCAATTGCACTATGCAATCTTCTTTAATTAATATTAAAGGAGTTCAATCAACAGAGAATGAAAGAACTAAATTATTTACTACTACATAATAAATCAAAGCCGACTAAAACTATTAGTAAACTTACGTAGATTCACTTAAACTAAAGATTACACATGTATAAAGTTGTACTCATGACAAATTTAACTGTTGCACCATGTGATGTAGTTCACATGTTACATAAATTAATCAAACATGTCATAAAAGATAGGTTGACTACCATAACTAATTAATACGCTCATATCATGATACCATCGTTAATTTTGCACATCTCACAATATATACAATATTATCTTTTAGTCGAGTTTTATTTCGAAAAATGTTAGCAATTGGATTAAAATAATAATAGTGTTTCTGATATACAATGTGTTTATAAATTGTATCATAATAGATCATTTTAGACATTTATTTTAAGGGCTAACTACAAAAAAAAAAAAAAAAAAAAAAAAAAAAAAAAAATCTAGTTTTTTTTTTTTTTTCATTTTACCAATTTATGTAAGATACTATCATTTTTTTAACTATTTAAACCAATATGCTTATCAGTTAATCTAAAATTTACACAAAGTGATTAGAATCATTACATAAAATGATAAATAAAGATAGTTTGTTATATCAACTTGTTAAAAAAAAGTATGTTCCAATTCATTAGAAAGGCTTTTTAAACTTGAAACATGAAAGGGTCCATCCCATAATTTTTGGTGTGTACGTTTTTAGGGGTCAAATAAAAGGGACGAAAGACTTTTCCTCGAACAATAATTTGAAAAAATAAAAGTAGAGCAAAGGATCCAACTTTGGATGGACAATCCACCAAACAAGGCAGGAGGGACATAATAATGAATCTATCTTTGTCATCACTAACTAATTTTGTTGTTAAACCCCCAATCTAACAACATCTCACCTAAGCATGACTTTTTTTTAACCAAAAAAATGAAATTTATTTCAAAATAAGTATAATATTTTCCTAATTATTATGTTAATTATGTATGATTAGTAACCAAGTAAGATATTTTTGGGTCTATATTAAAAGCTCGTACTTGTTTTATTATAGTATTAAGGTATCTACTAATACTTATTTTCTTTTGAAGCTATTATGTAGAACTAGAAAAACATGCAAGTAATTAGATTGTATTTAACATGTTCTTTTTTGGTAACATCATTAGCACCGATTTAAAAAATATAAAGTAAACAATTATTCTAAGATGGTGTTTAAATTATAATATGAAATAAATGTTTTTAAAAGTGTGATGCAAAAGATTAATGATTATGAGAAACAGATAAAATAAGTCCTTTTACCTTTGACGTCAACTCATCCATTGGTTTACTTTTATTTGGGGATTGAGTCATGGACACTAAAAGTCAAAAAAACATATTTACTTCGCTCTATTTTTTAATGGTAAAATAAGCTTTCCCAACAACTCAATGTTAACAAACTTGATTGTACCCCTTTCGTGCTTTATTCACATTCTCACTTTTTATTATAGATCATATCAATTTTTTTCATAACTTATTCATTAATCATAATAACAACTATTTGTTAGATTCAATGAATGTGAAACCTATAATTTGTTCATTCTCTGATAAACTAACAGTGATATATAGTAATTCTAAGAAATCTAAATAATAGTAAATAAAGTCCATTTGGTAATCTACTAACTAACTTCTGTTAAGAAAATGATTATGAAAAATCTGTTAACAAGCATTCATGTTAATCACATATGTTGTAGGTCAGTGGGTGCACCAACTTGGGTTGAACTCAGCTGCATTATCACCCATGAACCTTAACCAACTTTACCAATTCCTATATAAGTAACCACTTCTTATTTCTCACAATCCCACAACTCATCTATTCCTCTAAGCACAATGGCACTTGTGTTCACCACCACTTTACTCAGCTTCTTGCTTCTAGTTTCAAGTCTGGGATATTTAGCAAATGCAAAGACTCACAACCATGACTTTGTCGTATGATTGATTTCTCTTTCTCTTTCTCTTTTTCTTTTTGTCTTTGTTACGTTTATTTTGTAATAATGCCAAGTGTTTTACATAATGTTTAGGTTCAACAAACAAATATCAAGAGGCTATGCAAGACACATAACTCCATCACGGTCAACGGGCAGTTCCCAGGTCCGACTCTGGAAGTCAACAATGGCGACACTTTAGTGATACACGTTGTCAACAAAGCTCGATACAATGTCACCATTCATTGGTATAACTATATAACTACATAACCATATATGCATATTCTCATTTATATTTAGATAAAACGATTTTATTTATTTATGTTTGTGATTATTCAGGCATGGTGTGAGACAGATAACAACAGGATGGGCAGATGGACCTGAGTTTATCACACAGTGTCCGATTAGACCAGGAGGGAGTTACACCTACCGGTTCACTATTTCAGGGCAAGAAGGGACACTTTGGTGGCATGCACATAGCTCATGGCTTAGAGCCACTGTTTATGGTGCTATTGTTATTCACCCTAAACTAGGAGATTCCTACCCCTTTCCTAAACCCAAACGTGATTCAGTCATTGCTCTTGGTATAAACTTTATAACTATTCATAAATATATGTATACCTGATGATTGATGACTGATGTAATGAGATGATGACATCATCAGGTGAATGGTGGGATGCGAACCCGATAGATGTTATCAGAGAAGCCACAAGAACAGGAGCAGCTCCAAATGTCTCTGATGCTTATACCATCAACGGTCAACCCGGTGATCTTTACAACTGCTCAAGCAAAGGTTTGAAAAAATTGTGACATTAACTAAATCTTTAAGAAAAATTACGAAAATAATAACCTGAAGTTGTTTTCAATGTAGATACGGTTATTGTACCTATTGATTCAGGGGAGACGAATCTCATTCGGGTGATCAATGCAGCTTTAAACCAACAACTTTTTTTCACCATAGCCAACCATAAACTTACTGTGGTGGGAGCAGATGCTTCCTATGTAAAACCATTCACGACCTCAGTCCTGATGCTTGGACCTGGTCAAACGACAGATGTACTCATCAAAGCTGACCAGGCGCCAGCTAGATACTACATTGCTGCACGTGCGTACGCCAGTGCACAAGGTGCACCATTCGACAACACCACCACAACCGCCATTCTGGAGTACAAAACCGCCAAGTGTACCGCCGCCAAGTGCGTCACTTCAAAGCCGATCATGCCTCCTCTCCCGGCATATAACGACACCGCCACCGCCACCGCCTTCACCACCAGCTTCAGAAGCCCAAGAAAAGTGATGGTTCCGACTGAAATTGATGACAGTTTGTTTATTACAGCAGGGTTAGGGATCAATCAGTGTCCACCAAAAACCAGGGCGAGAAACTGTCAGGGACCAAATGGGACCCGCTTCACTGCCAGCATGAACAATGTATCGTTTGTGCTCCCGTCTAACTTCTCCTTGCTTCAAGCACATCAACAAGGGGTTCCTGGAGTTTTTACTACTGATTTTCCGGCGAAACCTCCGGTGAAGTTTGATTACACAGGGAATGTGAGCCAGTCTTTGTGGCAGCCTACTCGTGGGACAAAAGTCTACAGGTTGAAATATGGGGCCCGAGTGCAGATAGTGTTGCAAGGAACAAATATCTTCACAGCTGAAAACCATCCTATTCATCTTCATGGATATGATTTTTATATACTTGCAGAAGGTTTTGGAAACTTTAATCCGAAAACAGATACTGCTAAATTCAACCTTGTGGATCCGCCTCTCAGAAATACAGTTAGTTTACCTGTTAAAGGGTGGGCAGTTATTAGATTTGTTGCTGATAATCCAGGTAAAGAATAGATTAAAAAAAAAAAGGTTGAATTTTTAAGAGAGTATGTTGCTTAATTTGACAATTTCTTTGTTATCTTTTCAGGTGCTTGGATTATGCATTGTCATTTAGATGTTCACATTGGGTGGGGTTTGGCGATGGTGTTTCTTGTGGACAATGGAGTTGGACCAATGCAGACATTGGAGAAACCACCACCGGATTTACCTGTGTGTTGATAATATTGGCATCAAATTAGTAAACAACAATAGCTAGCATTCTTGTTGTCTAAAACTATGAGTGTTAAATGTCTTTCCCCCCACATTGGGGATATTCCTATTTTTCTATTCTTGTTTTTGTTACCCTTTTTTTCTGGCTTTTTTCATGGATAGCACTATAGCAGACTGCACCAACTAAAGATGGTGGCATATTTGGCAGATGAATATATTGTATTTTATAATCAGAAGTCGAACACAAAGATTTGTTTCCAAAGTAATGACAAGATCATGATTGTATTAGCATTCTATTCTGTTTTGATTTCACCGGCTTTATCTCTGTCAAAGGTTTTATAATTTATACATACATTATTATTTGTTCTCCATGGTTTTGTTATACTGGAACTAAAAGAAATGTTTTGCTAAAGCAATATCTGTTTTTCAAATGATTAAATAGCTACAAAGGTTAAAAGTTAAAACCTCACCCATCAAAAGCACAAAAGTAACATACATGTGAAAAGATGTTTATCAACATTGATGGCCTAATAAATCAATCTTAAGACAGTGAAAGCACGAAACAACTGGCATAGTTCTTGAAAATAAAACATGCCACTTCTAAATGAAGTTTTTGTACTTCAACAGAGAAACAGAGAGTTGGATATATATTCAAAAGAGAGTAGTTAATTAGTACCTTAAAGATCACTCAAGTCCCATGCTTTAAGGGCTATGATATACAACCAGTGATGGTCTTAGAGACTTGTACCAAATCTACAATGCATACATGCTGCTGATATCGAACAATGAGAGAGAACCATGTGCCATGTAGCTCAATTGTACCACATTCAACTTAAGAGAGAAACTCTGAGGTAGCTTTGATGCACGTAAGAAGCCTAACTGAGATTTTATGATCCAGAAAATAATGAATTCTCATTCAATTGTGATGATCTCTTGAATCACACAATAAGAGCTATATACACATATGTAGTACAACTGAAGTACACCAACAACTAATCATCTACCTATGTAGTACTTATCAGCCAAAAGCACAAACCAAACAAAAAAATAACTGGTATAGAAGGTTTGTGACCACTTAAATCCACCAAACTAGCAATTAGATAGATCAAACAGATAAGTTGGACTAGGTCAATAGCTCATGGTCTCCAATTATGCAACATAAGGCATTAGGAATAGTAAGGGGCTCGACTAAAAACTTTGGGTTCAACTTGGCAATATGAGTCCCCGACATCTAGGGTTTGTAATCGTTGCATACATTATGGATAGTATTAATGTTGAATCGTAATACTGAATACGAACTGTTTAAATTAACTTTGTATTCGGCGTTTTAAAAATATTAGCTTAGGTGTGGTCGATTACGAACTACGTTGACCTTTTACTAAAGTTTTACTCAATGGGAGATTTGACGTAATGGAAGCTTCAATCACTGAGACGAATATCTCTGTAAGCACTTCTCTGGTTTGGAGATTTAAATTCTCCTTATGTTAACCACAATGTCGTTCATTTGTTTACTAAAAGTCTAAAACAATGCGTATGAAACCAAGAAGATGAGAGATTACATGCATACCATTACAACGTATGAATGAATGATGATTCGAGACGTTACGTAGTCGAATTTTTGTTTGTGAAGGTATTCTGTATAGCTGAGCATGGTTGTTGCCTGTAAAAGGCACCGTGAAGACAGGTGCAAGAAAGAGAGAAGGGGCCGGAGATAGTTGAACTGTTGAGTGTTGAGTGTTGAAGCAATTGAAATTGGAAGTTGAAACTTAACTATAAAAATTAGAATTGCTAAAGCGCCAAATATAATTATTTGCTTATTAATCAAGTAAAGTAACTAAACAAATTACTCAAATCGTAGTTGTTGTGGTTTGTCAAAATTTAATATTTGTTCCCCTAAATTTTGTTTTGCACTTGGACCGTCCTTACTGTTTGTTTTCGTTACATTTTCGTCCCTGTCCCTTTATATTTTCTTTTTTAGTTTATTCATTAAATATTAATCATTTATGGGTAAATTACATGAATGGTCCCTGTGGTTTGGTGTAATTTGCGTGTTTGGTTCCTAAAAACTTTTTTTTTAACTCGGATCGTCTCTACTATATGATTTTGTTGCACGCTTGGTCCCTGTCCATTCTAAAAAGACTGATTTACCCTTACTAGATTTTGTTTTTATATTTTAAATCATTTTAAACAAAATTTTATTACAATAAAAAGTTTGGCCCCACTTGATCTCTTTATTTCCTCAAGTCAAATGCATCTAACCCTAATCCCTTTATTCCTTCCAGCCGATCTTCCACAACCTCCTTCCTCTCTGCCACCGTCGGAGCTTCTGCCTGATCCCATGAACTAGCCGAACTCGGTCTTCCACCTTCATCTTTTAGCCATCTACGCCACTAACATCATCCCAACCATAAACCGGCATGTGAAACTTAGGCAATTAGATCCGTCAGAGCCAAGACCACCACCGTCATCATCCTTCTCTCTAACTTAAACCACCGCCCTAAATCACTTAACCGCCGCATTAAATTAATTTAACAACATCCCTGAACCATGTCTTCTCTGGAAGAGTTGATTTTTGAAGAATACTCCCATCGAGTTCTCTGGTTTCTTTCGGTCTACTTTCTCTGATGATTTTCTTCATGTTTGATTTTTGGGTTTGTTCCAGGTTTGCTAGTCTATTTTCCTGGTTTATCTGATGATTTGCTTCATATCTGATTTTAATTTGATTTTCCAGTTTTATATAGATCGGGTTTGATTTTCTAATTTCCGGTTTGATTTTCCTTAAGATCTAGTCCTAGTTTATTTTTCGAAAATTTGCTTAAGGGAAAGTGATGGTGCTGGTTTGCTGGCAGTTTGTTGGAGAAGACTGTTGGATTAGGTGTCTAAGTTCATAACTATTTCTGGAATGTACTTGGCCCAGTTGGTATGGTCCATTTGGGTTGCATGGCATTGCAACACATTGGATAGACTAAATGAGAGAAAGGACACTTATGGTTTATTAATATATTATAAGTTCTAATATATTAATAATATTATTTAATTAGTATTGATCAAGAATTAATTTAGAATTAATTTGGTGATCAAAAGGAGACTAATTAAATATATGGGGTTGATTGTGTAAATCATCCATTCTTTTATAGCGGGCTAATGATCCATGGTTTATTAAGTTGGGCTAAAACCCATAAGGTGCTCCATGGATAGTCCATGGAGGTTATAAACTCATGGATCATGAAATATGAAAAGCCATGTCATTTAGGGTTTACATGTGGTAACCCTACTTGTGACACAACTATAAAAGGACCCCATGGGCTACCAAAATCGGCACTATGTGTAGAACAAGAGGGCTAGCCGATTTTGAGTGAGTGTAGGACTTCTCTCAAAGTTATTCCAAGTGTTGTGGTGATGTGTGAAACATTTGAGGCATCACACTTGAGGTGCTAGTGTAACACCCGTTTATTTATTTAATAAATAAATTAACTAATGATTATATAATAGCCCTAAAATCAATAGTTATATAGCAATGTGTTGGTCTCGAGGAGCTAATCGTTATAATTTTAGAGATTAGGGGGTTAAGATGTAAGTTTCGAATTTATTTTGTAAATATTTATGAAGTCGGGGGCTGAATATGTTGTAACTAAGATATTGGGGGCTGTTTGGTAATTTATGGGTCGAATTTGAAAAGGATTTTCGAGGTTAGAGTAGAAAGGGTAAAATATGGCCTCATTTTGAAAGAATAAGAAAAGGGAGGGACCAAAGGTGTTGTTATGGAGAAAAGTTTGATGGGCTAAGAGACTATAAAACCCATCACCCGTTAACCCTAACCCTAGCATGAAGGCAACCGCCATCATCGGAAGACCTCCAGCAGCCACCCTCACCTCTTCTCCTCTCCAGCCGCCGGAGCCAACCCTGCTACGTCGGAAAGAAAGCAAGACCGTTGATGTGGATTACCGTCGCCGTTCCTCGAGCAGTTACGTCGCCGCCTCCCCTCTCCGCTGTCAAGGTCGCAAATGGCGCTGCCGGGAAGGACGTCTTTGCCAAGATCCCATGGCCGCCGACGACAACAACCTCGGCTATCGCTGTTACCATTCACGGATAGAGAAATGACCCAATCGATCCTTCTTCCCTGATCTGTTCCGGCGGTACGCTGCTGCTATTCCATTGCCATCCGACCGCCACCTCCCTGTTGTTACCACCGTACCCTCCGCCACAACCATCACTGTTAAAGACGAAGGGCCGCCATGGAGCGCCAAGGCAGTATGTGACCGGAGGAGACCCTTGGTTGGTCGTCGTCACTGGTTTGCTGCCGCCAACATGAATCAACCGCTTGCTCCGACTGTCGTACGCCGCCACGCGAAGGTTGTGCTGGAGTGTTGTATGCATTCTAAGGTTTATGTGTGTGAGTTTGTCAAGCCGGAAAGCCGAGGACCGCCCGGTGGTGGCTGCCGCCATGTGCTGCCTGTGTGTGTTCATTTTGTGTAGTGTGTGTGTGATTATTCTGAGTTTTAGCAGTGTAATGTGTAAAATTACAAAATGGAATAATGAGAAAGAAACCCTAACCACCACCGTGAGGTGGTGGCTGCCGCCACCGGCCGCCGTGTCGGGTGGCAGTGTGCTTTGATGGTGTTTTGACCCGTTTGGATGTTTGGACAAGGGACTAAGAAACCCTAATGGGCCCAATGAGGCTTAATGGGCTTAATAAACCCTAATGGGCCCAATGAAGCTTAATGGACCTAAAAGCCCAAACAGATGACTAATGGGCCTAGTGAAACCTTAATGAGTCTAATGAACCTTAATTGATCAAAAGACATATCAATTGGGCCTATTGGGCTAAGATGGGGTTGGAAACCCTAATTAGGGTTTAGAAAACCCTAATATTGGATTTATGGGCTTGGACTTATTGGGACCCACTTTTGGGCCATTGGAATGGAATTGTGTGATTAAGCCTAATCACACCATATGACTTATTTAGAAGAATAATGAAGTTAATGGATTAAGTCCTTAATGGATTAAGTCTTTAATGGGTTAAGTGAGAAACACTTAACCCTAATCGTCATTTTATGTGAAAACCCTAATTTCCCTTAGGTTTTATTGTTGGGCCTTTCTATTGGGCCTTGATGATTGGGTTATTAATGGGCCATCCAAAGTCAAGTAATTGGACTAGAATAATTAATGGGCTTTGAGGTAAGGCCCATACGAGGAGTTGGGCCTAATTTGGAAAATTGGGCCATAGATGGGCCATAGTTTGGGCCTTAATGATTATATGAGGTTGGGCATTATGGTAAGACCTTGTAAAGGTTTGGGCCCAATTTGGAAAATTTTCCCATATGTTGGGCTTTGAGCCATAGTTGGACTTTTGGGCCTTTGGATTGGGCCTTGGGCTTGAATAAAGCCAAGCATGGGGTAATGTAGTAATGACCCAAGAACGTACTTATGATTATGTAGTGGAACCCAAATATTAATTGGGTGATGTTTGTTATTGACAGTTCGAGAATCTGTCATCCAACAGCTGGGGTTGAGTCTGCGGGACTTCAGCAGTGTGGGATTGTGTCTACGGGACTTCAGCAGTGTGAGGTGAGTTACCTTCCAGTAGCGGTGGGTCTACGGCCACAATGTCGGTCCACCAGTAGGAGTTGTATGTTAGATGATTGTCTTTGTGATATTCATCTAGGTTTGCTGCTACCTGATATGTTTATGTGCCAGCATGATATGATGTTATGTGATAGTGGTAGTAGAAGGGGGTGAAATAGTCCCCGGTTACCGGTCGATAGAACCGAATGGGTAGATTAGTACCCAGCTATGCTAGACAGATTATGATATAGGTGATATGATATTATGTGGTGGTAGTGGGGGTGAAATAGTCCCCAGTTACCGGTCAAGAGGATCGAAGGGGTAGGCCAACTCCCAGATAAGCTAGGCAAGGTCACCGGTCGAGAGGACCGAAAGGGTAGGCCAGCACCCAGATATGCTAGGCAAGATCACCGTTCGAGAGGACCGAACGGGTAGGTCGGGCACCCAGATATGCCTGACAGTATGTATGTTATATGATTGTATGGTATGTGGTATGATGGGGGAACTCACTAAGCTTCGTGCTTACGGTTTACAGTTTTGGTTTCAGGTACTCGTTTTCAAAGGAAAGGAGCCGGCTTGATCGCAGCGCATCACACTATGTTTTCCGCACATGAGATCTTTGGGATTACACTCTGATATGGTTTTATGATAATATGTTTTGATTACTGACACTTTGGTTTGACACGAGATATTATTATGAATGTTTTTATACTGATGGTTTTATGTAATAACTTATTTAAAAATGAAATTTTTGGCCTTGAATTTTGGGATGTTACAAGTTGGTATCAGAGCCTTGGTTTGAGGGATTCGGGCACACTCTCGGGTGTGTCTGGACTCAAACTGAGGACTTGGTATGAAAATTTTCAAAAGTAAAATCATTTAATAAAAAGAACTTTGAAAATTATTTGAAAAGATAAAAAGGAACTTGGAAAAGAACAAGGTGTGTGATGCGTGCAATCAGCCGAGCTCAAGTAAGTTTTCCCCAAGATACCCATACATGTTATGATATGTTATGTTATGATATGATTATGAGAATTGCATGCTAGATTAGGGCTAAGGATCTAGGAGGATGCCTTATATGCCTATTGTATGGTTTAGATTTTTCAATTTTATTTCCGGTAGCGAAGGTGGTGATGTTTTACTCCGGTGGCACAGGTGGTGATTTTCCGGCTGGGTGGGGCGAGGATGAATGTGGGGTGGAGCAGAAATGGAATGGCTGATGGTGCAAAAATCAAGATGTGGTGGTCTGGTTACATTTTGTGGCGGCGACGTCGATATATGTGATTTTCCGACGAGTGGTTTAAGATTTTCCAGCGATTGAACACAAGGAGGGAGGGGTGGGGATGAGGGTTCAGTGGTGTGGGTTTTTGAACCAGAAAATATATTTAATTAATATTTTCCACATTTAATTTATATTTTTTAATTAACTGGTAATTTTAAAATGGTAAAAGAAATCAGTAAGGTAAATTAGTCTTTTTAGAACGGACAGAGACAAAGCGCGCAACAAAAACATAAAGTAGGTATGGTCCGAGTTAAAAGAGTCTTTAGGGACCAAACATGGAAATTACCCCAAACTACAATGACCATTCGTGTAATTTACCCATCATTTATTAATGACAAAATTGCAAGAATGGTCCCTGTGGTATGTCAAAACTAGCAACTTTGGTCCAAAATGGGTTTGGCTCGCAAGGATGGTCCAATAGTTTCGTTTTGTTGCGAGTTTAGTCTAAAAATTTTAAAACTTTTTATAATGACGGATTTGCCCTTGGTATTTTCCCTTTTTTAATTTTTTTATTACAGAAATAAAAAAAGAAAAAAAGAAAATCTCTCTCTCTCTCTGTATATATATATATATATATATATATATATATATATATATATATACACACACACACACACACACAAAACACATCTTATTCGTTCTGAGAAGAGGGTTTTGGTAAAGAGGGCGAATGAGGCTTCTCGCGAAGATGTTTCCGGTGAAGATGCTTCCGGCGAAGGTGCTTCCGGTGAAGAGGGTTCCGTCAAACGAGGCTTCTGGCGGATTATCGTCATCGCTGCTATCCTTCTTCCCAAACGCCGATGGTTGTGAGGGTTTTCAGATATGGTTCATCGTTGTTTTATCATGGCGGCAAGATTAGGGTTTCGTTGGTTCGTGCTTCTTTTCCTCCGACTGATACAAGGGCGGCTAGATTATGTTTTAGGGTAGCGGTTGTAATAGGGTTCTTATACCCACATTTTTGCAAAGCCTGAGGTGTAACTGCCACCGTCACCTCCATACAGGCGACGATTCCGTGTATGTGGTGTCTTTGGCTCCAATGATGTTTCAGGCGACGTTGAAGCCAAAACGGAAACGAGAAGAGTTTTTTTGGAGGTGCAATTCTACTAAAACAAGATCAGGTGCAGCTCCGCTTGTAATCATCTCATCTATTCCCCACTCCAACTAATTGTTCTTGTTACAAATCTGATTGTTCTTGTGGGTTTAAAAATCTGGTTGTTCTTGATTTTGAAGTTGCAGATCAGGAAAAAAATATGTTTGAATTCATCATACGGTGGTGGTAGTTCTTGAGTTTCATTTTGAAATTGTAGATGCAGATTTATATGATGGTGGTGGAAAAAATATGTTTGAATTCATCGTATGGTGTTGGTGGTGACCGACGGTCACGGTGGCAATGGCTATTGTTGGTGACCAACATTGGTGGTAGCGGTAGTGCTCGTGACAGACGGTGGTGGTGATAACCTAATCAATAGTTGTATGCTAGAGAGGGTGGAGGGGTGGGATAGTGGTAGTATTATTTTGGTTTAATTATGTAAATTGTAAAATGTATTTATATAAATTAAAAAAAAAAACTGAAAAAAAAAACAAAAAGTAAGGGCAAAAACGTCATTATAAAAAAGTTTAAATTGACTTGGACCAAATCCGCAACAAAAATGAAAAGTTTGGACTAAACTCGTAACAAAACGAAACTATTGGACCATCCTTGCGAGCCAACCCCATTTTGGACCAAAGTTGCTAGTTTTGACGTACCGGGACCATTCTTGCAATTTTGTCTTTATTAATCAAAGAAAACATGTTAATGTAATTTATACTAACAATCTGGGTCCCACCCCTCACCCCTTCTCATATGTTCAACCCTATAAATGAACGACGACCACAAGAACTCCGACACATTTTCTCCCTCGCGTTCATCTACTCGACCGCCAACAAGCGCCTAACTGCTACGAGCACAGAAAATCACCCAGAAAACTTTCGATTACTGGAACCATCAATTACCGCAACCACCACTCAAACTCCCACTCCTCCTGCTTCATTAAACAGAACACAGAAGAAAACCACATCAAAATCATAATCAATGACAAAACAACTTCATGTTCATCGCATCAGGCATTGCACAACCATACCAAGAAAAAACAGAAATACAGCCCCAAATCAAATCTGCAAACCAAGGAATCAAAAACTATATAAATGCACAAATCAAACCACTAGTGGTACAGAAGAGAGAAAGATAGAGAAAGAGAACAGATTGGAATGACCCGAATCAAATCAAATACATAAACCCAGGAATCAGAACAGATCTGAATGACCCAAATCTAGAGGGTTGGACTGTCGGAGGAGCCTCCACCGTAGAAAGACTGATGGGAAGGGATCAGGGTTGTTAGTGGAGGAGAGGTGGCAGGTGATTTCAGAATGCATTGTGGTGGTAGCGGTGATGCCATTCATCCTCTTTCTTGTTGTACATAAGCATCATAGTGCAGACCCGACGACGACCCTACAGTTCCGACGGAGATCGAACATTTTTAGCGGCGTTCCGGTGGTTATCGGCAGAGCTCCGGTTGTTGTGGTTCTCTTCAAATGTTCATGTGAGATGAGAGAGAAATAAAGGGTTTAGAGGAACTGAAGAGGTGGGTGTGTGGGAGGGGACGCACAGTGGGGTAGGTAACATTTTTTTCATTTCTATGTTTTCTTTAAATGTTAATAAGAGATGGATAATAAAAAAAGGGTTTTTTCCAAAATAGAACGTTTTTTTCTATTTAAACCAAAAACTTTATTTATTTCCTAAAAAAGACCATACTTTTTGATGTTCCTTGTTATTTATTATGCATAACCGGTTGACTAGTCAATAGCCGGTATCACGAACGTATCCTTCCTGCGTACCCTTTCTTTTCTTCTACACTCGCTAGGTTTCATTCGTTCGCTTCAAGATACACAAGTCGATATGAAAATCTAGGGCTTTTTCTGAAATCGCACAACAAGAAAGCCATAGCATCCAATTCTTAGTTCCAGAAATCGCACAAGAAGGCTATGGCATCCAGGAATCACTAATGTAAGTTCTTTTCTCGGTCTCACGCTTTGTTCAACCCGATTTTGTTTGACTTCTTAGCTTCTAATTGCTTAGATTCCCATGATTATAAATCAATTTAATTAAAAATCTAGATTTGTGCATACTAAAAAAAAAACTGATTTGTAAAGCGGGTTTCTTCTCCTCCACCTGCGAAGGAATTCCCCATCAACAACGATTTGGATTTGATTTGTAAAGCAGGTTTATAAAACTGAATTGATATATGAAATATAAACCTGAATTGATCATTCTTTGCTTGATTCACCAACTTGTTAGTCCTCGAAGATCTCATCTTCTTCAAGTATCAAGAGCATCAGAAGTAGAAGGATAGTAAGGAATGGTGGAGTTGAATTGTGCAAGTGTAATGAATAAGCTCCTATGTTTACATCATGAACTGCAAAGAATCCTGGTAGAAGATTTTATGGATGTCCAAATTACAAGGTAAAATGTTTGTAAACTTTTTTTTGGATGTCCAAATATAAACCTGAAGTTATACCATGTAATGATATGTAAATGTTGCTTCTTTTGCAGGATGAAAGTATGAATTGCAAGTATTTCATATGGATTGATGATGAACTTACAATCCAAAGGTACAAGGATCTACTCTTCAATATGCACCATGATATGAAGGGTATGGAAGATGAGATCAAAGAATTAAAGTTAAAGTTGAAGAAAAAAAGCGTGTTTGGAATGTGAAGAACGAAGAGTAAAGTATGTTAGGATTGTGGTATTCTTGGTAGTTGTCCTGACATTGGTCATCTTAAGATTGTGTTACTTTTGATGAATTAAGGTATGTTAGGGTTATGTTTTGTATGACAAAATAGTTGGTTATGTTTTGTATGAGAATATAAGTACTTTTCTATATATGTTATTTTCAGTTTTCAATTTTACCCTTTTAAGGTTTACATTCATTCATAAACTAATATGATATAATTTGATAGATATTTGAAAGTAGAATGTCCTAATAAGAAAAAGACAAAAAGGAATGTAGAAAATAAACAAAGTACACAACATTTCATAAACAGTTTACAAAGGGGAATGTTAATCCAAAGTGGATCAGTTTCTAAATAACATGTGGGTGTGAACTTGGCCATCATTAACACTTACAAAAAGGCCAAATAATAAGTTGCAACAAAAAGACCAAAATGGCCATATTAATAGTACTATACAAAAATACCCCCACCCCCTCTACAAATGTTAAGTGCTATATTAAAAGTATAAAGACAAATTTAAGTAAAAAGGAAAATGTAATACTTACCTTGACAAAAGTAAGCACGACTCCATGAGCTCGAGTTATGGGACATTAAGTATTCATATGCACCCACATCTATAGCCTTCAATCTCTCCATCACAGATATGAATTCAGGTTCTAGCATAATGATCACTACCAGGGTTGGATCTTTGTATTTCTGCAGCATAGTCCCAAATTCTAGCATAATGATCACTAGCCTTCCCTTCAATCATCACCATTGCCTTATGTTTAGCCCTGTTACATTTACTGATAGATAGGGTGATCTTGAATTTTGTCTTAATGAGTTCCCTCAATTCTTTAAGTTTAATAGATGGGTTGAAAACAATCTCCTTCACAAGATGAGAAGCAATCCACTGAGGGGATACAAGGTGTCCAAAAGTAAACTTTCTTGAGCATGAGTGCTTCTTTTTCATTGACTTTACTTGGACTGTTCTTTATGTGTTCATCCATGATGCATACAAACGAAAATCACATTTTTTTTTGTCTGTATCTCTACCACATCTAGCTACTAACCTAGTATTTTTCAAGTTTCTCAAACCTTAGGGGGTACCTATGGGCCACAACGTAGTTAATAAGACAATTGAGAAAATTGAGAAAATTTTTGATATTTCTCTCCAACCTTTGGTTCCATGAGATTCCACTCTATGGTGGGATCATGGACAGAATTGGAACCACCAATGTCATTCTCGTCATCTTCTAGATGAACTAAATCATCTACGTATTCATCTTTTTCACCAAAAAACTCAGATTCATCTTCAAAAAGTTTGGTAAGAAAAGGATCGTTAACAGATTGGAATGAAATAGCTATTACCTTTTCCCTCTCATAGTCCATGGGCATGTCTGATACGAGAATTTCATCTTCGGGATCTTCATAATCAGCGTATTTTTTCTTGTGTTTCTTAGTTTTCTTCTTGGCATCGTTGTTGGATGCCATGGCTTTCTTGTTGTGCGATTTCAGAAAAAGCCCTAGATTTTCATATCGACTTGTGTATCTTGAAGCGAACGAATGAAACCTAGCGAGTGTAGAAGAAAAGAAAGGGTACGCAAGAAAAGAAAGGGTACGCAGGAAGGATACGTTCGTGATACCGGCTATTGACTAGTCAACCGGTTATGCATAATAAATAACAAGGAACATCAAAAAGTGTGGTCTTTTTAGGAAATAAATAAAGTTTTTGGTTTAAATAGAAAAAAACTGTAAATATAAGGTCTATTTTGGAAAAAACCCATAAAAAAAGGAAAATATAGTCGGTAAGATAGTCTTTTTATAGACAAAATTACAAAAATGGTCCCTGTGGTTTGCCAAAAGTCATAAAGTCAGTCCCTGCTAATTTTTTTTGATGTAAATGGTCATTGTGGTTTGCAAAACTTGCAAAGATGGCCCTTTTTACTAATTCAGCCGTTAGGGACTGAATCTGTAAGGGTATTTTCGTCTTTTCAAGTATAAAGGGACTGAATTCGTGACATTTGATAAACCATAGGGACCGTTTTTGTAATTTATCTTAAAATAATATAAATGATAGAAAATGAAGGGTACTAGATTCGAACTTTGGACCTCCTACCTTTCTCCCTTAATCAACCAAAGCCTTAACCAATTAGGCTAGAGCCACACTTGATTTATATTTTCGAAAACTAACTAATATTATCTATAATTCGTAAATAAATTAATAATAAAATATTAAAAAAACATATTTTTACAAAAAAAACTTAATAAAACAAAATATATTTTTAGCGTATTGTAAAAAAAAATACAAACAATTATTTGTTTTTTTACGTATTTGTTTTACGTATTTAAAAAAATAAGTTTCCGTATACTTTTAAATACATAAAAAAACGTAATAACATATTATACAAAAACGTAATCATAAAAAACATAAAAAAAGTTTTTTGTATATATTTATTTTATGTGAAGTATGTTTTTTATATTTTTTTTATGTATTTATTTTATGTAAATATGTAATTAAAAAAATACGTTTTTATATAATATGTTATTACGTTGTACTGGAATACAAAATCGGTCAAATAAGTTTTTGTATTGGCCCAATCGGTTTTCTAAAAACCGTTTTTCGATTTAAAAAATACATATTAAAAAAAAGTTTTTTATGTATTTTTTAAACCGAAAAACGGTTTTTAGAAAACCGATTGGGCCAATACAAAAAACTTATTTGACCGATTTTGTATTCCAGTACAACGTAATAACATATTATATAAAAACGTATTTTTTTAATTACATAAAAAACATATTTACATAAAATAAATACATAAAAAAATATAAAAAACATACTTCACATAAAATAAATATATACAAAAAACTTTTTTATGTTTTTTAGGATTACGTTTTTGTATAATATGTTATTACGTTTTTTTTATGTATTTAAAAGTATACGAAAACTTATTTTTTTAAATACGTAAAACAAATTCGTAAAAAAACAAATAATTGTTCGTATTTTTTTACAATACGCTAAAAATATATTTTGTTTTATTAATTTTTTTTTGTAAAAATATGTTTTTTTAAATATTTTATTATTAATTTATTTACGAATTATAGATAATATTAGTTAGTTTTCGAAAATATAAATCAAGTGTGGCTCTAGCCTAGTTGGTTAAGGCTTTGGTTGATTAAGGGAGAAAGGTAGGAGGTCCAAAGTTCGAATCTAGTGCCCTTCATTTTCTATCATTTATATTATTTTAAGACAAATTACAAAAACGGTCCCTATGGTTTATCAAATGTCACGAATTCAGTCCCTTTATACTTGAAAAAACGAAAATACCCTTACAGATTCAGTCCTTAACGGCTTAATACTAACGGCGTTAGTAAAAAGGGTCATCTTTGCAAGTTTTGCAAACCACAAGGACCATTTACATCAAAAAAAATTAGCAGGGACTGACTTTGTGACTTTTGGCAAACCACAGGGACCATTTTTGTAATTTTGTCCTTTTTATATCTACGAGGGACCAAAAACATAATAAAAATAAACGTTAAGGACGGTCCTGTTGCAAAACAGAAGTTAGTGACCAAACATGACATTTTGACAAACCACAGGGACGATTTCAGTAATCTGTTCAAGTAACTATTATAAATGTTTTTTTTAATATTAATTTTTTAGTTTTTGAAAAATAACTATTTATTATTGAATGTTTTATTCTAGATTTGATCTACAATTTTCAAAACAAAAAAAAATTGTTTTTTTTTATTTCTTTCCAAAAAAAAATCTCTTTACTTTTGTTTGAATATATATTTTGAAGTGTTTAATGTCGCCATTTTTAATCAAATTGTAACAACCCAAAATTTTCAGATAAAAAAATTCATTTCAAACATCCAATAGTCATGTCAAACAACCAATAGTGTATCATAATGAAATATAATATCAGAGTACAAATCCCAAAATCACATAATACGGAAAAACGCAGGCGGATGCGGTGTGATCAAGTCGAGCCCTTCCCTTTTCGAGCTGGATGTACCTGAAACACAAATTGAAAACCGTAAGCACAAAGTTTAGTGAGCTCCCCCAAAATACCCCATACCATACACACATACAGTCAAAACATATTTGGATCTATTTCACCCCCATCGGTCTCTATCAACCGGTACTAGGTATATTTCAACCCTTACGATCTCTTTCAACTGGTACTGGGTATATTTCAACCACTTCAGTGTCTTTCAACCGGTATCGGATCTATTTCACCCTTACAGCTAGCATATAATCATAACAGTAGGAGTCACAGAGACAACAAACATATACAAGCAATACAGGGAATTATCATAAAAACAACTATCATCCTACTAATATAATCTATGGGGCCGACATTGGTGCCTTCGACCCGCATGTATAGTGAAGGAAACTTACCTTAGACTGAAGATATCAAATCACACTCGAGCTGCTAAATCACGAAACCCTCTCACTAAATCATAAATAATAAAACCCTAATTAGAAATTAGGTCAATAACCTAACCCGGGAGTCCAAACCCTAAATCCCGGCTTTAAGGGTAAAAGGTTGCTTTACCCTTCCCTTATTGAGCCTAACATACCAAGGCCCAAATCCAAACTAGCCCAAAAGTCCAAAAAGGCATTCCAAGCCCAATATGGGCCCAAATCAATAAAGGCCCAACTCAGAAAAACTTGTGGTCCGACAAGGGCCCAAAACCCTAAAGCCCAAGATGACCCGAAACTAAAAGCCCAAAAACCCCATTTCGTGAGTACGCTAAGCGTACCCCCACTACACCCGGCGTACTCGAATGCTTCACCAGATCGGGACCCCAGGCGCGTACGCTTAGCTGGCCAATTTCTCCTTTTAAGGTCTTAATCAGTTAAGACTTAAGACCTAATGTCCAACTTTAGATCTAAGCTTATTAAAATGTATTAAACCATAAATTTGCAAACTTCATGCTTTTGCATGGCTTAAAAAGGTCAGGTCTTGGATTTTAACACACCGACTTTATGAAACAACCCTCAACCCTTGCATGGTTGGGCTT